TGTGGACCCAAATTAAAGAACAAGTTTCAAAGGTTTAAGTTCTGAGAGAGCCGTAAAGTTTGAGGACTCTCCGAGCCTACCTCTTTAGCCTTTAGTTTGGTAATAAATTAATGTCATAGGAACTCTATGTTCTCTCTTCCATAACTTTTGGCAAAACGCATTGCGGTTTATCTCGTCCTTTAAGGATAATGGGCGGCGGATCTTGCCAAATAAAGGAGCCCATCAAATAAAAAAATAAAAAATAATCCGGTATCGCCTATTATTTATTAGAAGGAAAAAAACTTTGCTACAGGGACACAAAATATGGAACCAATAAGAAGGACAAATGAGGTGTCCCACTTCTATTGGTTAATAAGTTGGTCAATGATGGCTAACTCGTTATCCAATAGGAGGGGGACACCTCACTTGACCACACTATTGGTCCCATATTTTGGGTCCTTAAGAAATATTTCGGGAAAAAATGTCTTAGAAACCCCAAAATAGGGGACTCTAAGTGGGACAGGTGAGGTGTCGCCTCCCTATCCCGTGATGCACTGTTCATCACGGGACAGGAATGCGACACCTCACATGTCCCACTCAGGGTCCCCTATTTTGGAGTCTTTGTAGCAACATTCTTATCAGGGTTAATTGGGTCATCTCACAACACCCCGTCCAACAAAATTTACCTTTATAAAGTCCCTTTAATTGCATACTCCTTGTAGATGGTCCCCATCAACTTTCAAAACATGATTTATCCGTCCTTAAATTTTTTTTTTACACTTAACCCTCTAAGCTAATGTTATTAAAATCTAAACGAATAAATGATTTAAAATGACTATACTATTCCTAAGACGTTAAACTTTTTATCGTGGTGTCTTTTTTTTAAACTTTTTTTGTTAAAACTAATTTTTTTTCCTCCATCTTCATTGCTAGGTTCACGTGCACATCTAATTTTTCTTTCGAAAAATTTCTCAGAACCCAAAATATGGGACCAACAGGGGGGGCATGTGAGGTGTCCACCTCTTATTGCATAATGAGCTGGCCATCATCCTATATCAAAGCTATTTTCTTTATGTTTTGAAACACTAAATGTTTATCCATACTCTTAATATTTGAAACAATCCAAACTTTTAATTTTTTTGAAAATTATATATATCCAATCAGAGGGCAGTGAAATGATGAAAATCCACCCCCCCAACCCCCACCCCACCCGGCCGCCAATCCCATGTCTAACGGTTCGGATCACTTCCTTTGGTGGGGTGTTGTGATAGGATGGGTCCTCTCATCGGACATGATTTATTACACAGGGAGCATCCACAAATTAAGGTGAATCTGCAAAGTTTACTTTGAGCCACAGGAACAGATGCGCTCGTGTCAGCGTAGCGGCGATAAGAATCGGGTTCTCGTTGATCCGGGCAGGACCGGACCGGCATCATGCAACTTTTTTAGCGACGACGGACGCAACGAAATCTCTCTAGAGAATGAATCTCCTTTTTGTAATCTCTCTAGAGAATGAATCTCCTTTTTGTACCGGGTAACGTTCTTTTCGAAATATTTGGTTTGAGCAAAAGTGGGATATGGTGGAAGGATCAGAAAGATTTTCCATATAATATGCGATATTATCAACCTAAAGATGGTCTGAATATTCCATCATTAAAAAAAAATAAAAGAGGAGAAGGTCAAACCCCCCGCGGGGTTAAGCAGAAAGTTAAGCAAATAAATCACTAGACTCTTGTATGGATGGTTCTGATGGAATCCATATTCCATGAATCATAAATGACTAAATACCTATATTGATATTTTAATTCTAACCCATTTGTCAAGAAGGTATTTTTAATTAGGCAAACCTGCTTTAAGACATTTTAATTGTTTCAACTTACCAACAAGGCATTTTTTTCTCGTCGGCGACCAGTTTTTCGGCGAGAGCTCGTCGCATGCGTGGCACGTGATGACTTAAACTGTTTTTTAGCTGCTGATGTGGCACAGATTTTCTGACGTGGATAAAACAGTTGGGTGAATCTGTCCTATTTTGGGTGAATTGGGATTTTTAGAGGGTTAATTCCCGCCTTTAAACACTGTCACGTCAGAAAATTCGTGCCACATCAGCAGCTAAAAAATAGTTTAAGTGATCACGTGCCACACACGTGACGAGCTCTCGCTGGAAAACTGGTCGCCGACGAGAAAAAAGACCTTGTTGGTAAGTTGAATCAATTAAAATGCCTTAAAGCAAATTTGCCTAATTAAAATACTTTCTTAGTAAATACGGTGGAATTCAAATACTAATATGGATATTTAGCCAATCATAAATCAAAGGAAACAAACGGACCACTACAAGCCCAACAAGTTGGCCTGTAAAATGAGCTTAAAAAGCCTTATCAAAGAGCAACCACCAAAATATGAATTTTGGTTTGACACTTCCCTCAAGTCCTATACCTCTCTTGGATTTTACTCATACGAGACGCCCAAAATATGAAATTGCTTTTAGAACACCTCAAGGGTACTGAACTTGTCGATCTTCACTCTTTTGCCCTGGATGAAATTTTGGTAAATATTATCTCAGGTGAAATTAGTGAGTCTACGTAAATTTAACCCTATTAAATAACCATCACATAAAATTTTAATTAGTATTCTTCGGCTTTTGGCGCATAGCATGTACGTACATAGTAGGTTAGGACTCTTGTCCATGTATCATACGTAATGAATATCCAAACTTATTTCTCGAAGAGCAACACGTGTGTGGACTGTGCTTGACTCCAGCAACTTGACCCGTTTTGCAAGTTGTGCACGTGGGAGTTGAGAAAATTAAAGGGACGAAATAAATGAACATGAAGTTTGGTCCAACTATTTGGCTAGGTTCAAATATTAATTCAGCCTATTTGAGGGTCCATATTAGCATACTACATAAAATGATACCAGTGGACTACCACGTTGGCTATCTTTTGTCAACTGTTGTTGTTGTCAATTTAATTATGGTTACAGCCCTGGGGACCCCAGATAGGCGACCCAGGGGGGACATGTAAGTTGTCCCTCTCCGGTTGGATGATGCACTGTTCATCGGATGTAGCGTTTAGATAAGAGAAACCGTATTTAGATGTTATATATATATATATATATATATATATATATATATATATGATAATTAATAAAAAAAGAATATTAATCGCATTTCAAGACGTAAATATAACCTACGAGATTGTCCTCAGCATGTCCCTACTTAACTGTTAGCTTTCATGTACAAGAGCTCTGCATGTTCTCAAATAGATGGACCATGTATCATCTCTTGCTTTTGTGTGAAGGGACAAGAAAACACAATGAGCTTGCAACCCACGGAAAAATGCTGAAAATATTGGAGCATTGTCATGGGATCCTTCAACTCTTTACTACCCTACGAGAGGCAAGATCTTGCAAGTGATATTGCAATTATTTTTTCCCCATAATCTTGTTCGCTCTACTTGTAATCGTACTACAGTCATAGAGTTTTGTCCTTCATTAATTATTCCACACGAATTGGTCATTTTCCCCTACGAATTAAAGGATTCTTGAGTGGAAGGAGAATTTTTTTTAGAATAATATTACATAAAATCATCTTACATTGTAATTTTTCTTGTTCTTAGATCAGGAGTTCTGTCTGTTTGAACTATAATCATAGACATGGTATATAGATTATAACCATGGTATATAGCTTTAAATTTTCAACTTAATTAATGTGTAATATATATACACCTCGCAAGAGCAAATGAGACATGTGCTGTGGACCCTAAAATAATTTTGCTTATGTCCTGCACCATCTTGGGTATTGTGCTGTGCACCAACATAGCACATGGATGAGTGAAATTAGAGGTGATGATGGGTATTGTGCCCTACCCAAATTTCCTCATGATGCTGATATCCTACAGGAATGGGGATAATTAAAAGTTTCAGAGAGGTGACACGTGGGTTGGTTGAGGAATTGGAACCTCTTGGGCAAATAATATTAATGGCATGTTGATGCAGGAGATCAAGTAATGGACGAGAGTCGAGAGGATACTCGGCTTAAACCAGACGAGACAACAACAACACAAACGAGTCAAGACGATGACAGGACGAGTCGACACAACCAAGACGAGCAGAGACTCGAAGTGATAGGACGAGGCGATAGGACGAGTCAACACATGCCAGTCGACACGAAAGGCGGGACGACTCGACATGCTTAGTCGACTTAGGTCCAGTCGACACGAAAGACGGTGCTAGTCGGGACGCCTCGTGTCGACTCGGACTTCAGATTAGGAAAGAGCTCCTTTTTTGGTTATTTCCTTTTTTGGATTTGGTTATTTCCTTTTAGACTTAGAGTTTCTTTTTTATTAGAGTTAAGATAGATTTAGTTAGCTATAAATATTAGTTCATTTTGTAAATTATGAATTAACTTTTCAATTATTCAATTAAGAGAATTTTCTCTTTGTTTCCGTTCTCAACTTTGAGAAACTTAGAACTTGTGGATTCAAGCTCGTGAAATACCTGCTGTTGTCAGGGCTCGTCGGTATCGAAATGATATCCGATCGGCCTCCCCGTTTCTACGTCCGCGTCGTATGTTGAGACTCTATCATCCAATGATCATGCGATCCTCTTTACTACCAGCAACTAATTGGGGCCAAACTGCAAATTCAGGGGCAGGTGTCTTTACAGAAATCGGAAAGTTTATAATGTCGTTCAAACAAGTCCCAGTTCACGAAAAAGAATCCGATATGTTTTTGAGTCATGTAGCATCAAAGTAGTATGAGACATTCTCGCAAATGCTTGCTAGAGGAGGGACTCAATATTTTTCTAGGCGTATAAAATGAAACTTTGTTGTATTCAACACCGTTCAAAATTAAAAAAGAACACTAAGTAATGCGCAAAAAGACGCATATATTCAGTGTGCCATTAAACAACCACGTACCTTTAGATCAATGTCGATCAAGTTTAACAATTTCCACACCAGAATTTAAAAAGTAAAAACTTCATAAACCATATAATAAAATTAAGCGGAAATTAAACACCAAATATTCATTAAAAGTAATAATATCCCCTTCATTAATCAAATTAGTCATCACGCAGAACAGCGCGCAACCTGCTCTAAAACAATTTACAAAATCATCTCAGGATCCAGAACCGGAGGGGAAAAAGGTTAAATTACAGAAAAATCCTCCTAAGTTTCGTCACCTTCACTCCCTCCGTACCTCATCCCCCCACCAAAAAGAAAAAAAAAAGGAAAAAAAAAAAACCAAAGCCTCGTACCTCATCCCCCCACCAAAAAGAAAAAAAAAAGGAAAAAAAAAAAACCAAAGCCTCGAGCCCAATATTCACCTAAGCATCGATGTTAGAGACCTAAACACGAACTCTTCGCAAGGAATCGTGAGGCCCATATCATGATCGAACCCAAACTCCTCCTCGGCCTGTCTCAAAAGGCTTTGGAACTCAGCCCGGGCCAGAAATGAAATGGGCACGATAAACCTTCTTCTGCTCTCACCAACGTACACCGCAAAATGCCCCTTGGGCACATCTTTAGCGCCGCTCTTTCCGAGGCTCGAACACCTCTTCAGTATTTGCTTCAGCATCGCAGGCTTCTTGCTTAGAGCCATACGTACGTCGAATACAAATCTTATCAGAACAAAACGATTAAAATATCCGAACCGCCTCGTAAGCTCCCTTGTGATCCGATCAAGTTTGAGCTCTTACTTGTTATAGGTTCTGTTTGGTTTGGTGATGGAGGGAGGCGGGAGGGTTGGGGTCGGGGAGTTGCTTGCAATGCTGTGGTTGCTGAGGGCAGGGGTTTGGACCCATCATCCAAGGGCTGTGGTTTTTGCTGGTTTGGTCTCTGGGTCCAGTTTATTTTGAGCCACATACTAAGATTTTTTTTTTTTTTGAACTTGTGCCCGAGGGATGGGTGCAGGGCCTCAAAACTAATGATAGGATGAGAAATGAGTGTATTCACAGATGGATATAGTACCCACCAAGCATAATATGCGAGGGGGGAAGAAAAGACGATGAGTATACTTAATGGAACTTGGTTGGAACTGATGAGAGAGATGTGATGGTATTTAACTTGACGGAGAAAATGACGTCTAGGATTCATGTAACTGCATGGGTAAAATTTTGTAAAAAAAAAAGGTACTTTTGTTGTATTGAATTTTCTTACCTTGTTTCTTACAAAAGAGTAACGGATACATGAATTTACTTGGTTTGAGTTATAGTTTAATTCATTGTTTTTCTCGTGTCTTGAAACAAATTTGTCCGTAGTACAATAAATTTCCCGTTCAATTTCAAAGCCCACTTATACTCAGCCCAACCGATTCCCGGCCCATAATTTTGGCAGATCGAGAACTACAGATCGAGAACTAACGACGGTCTTCTCCTGGGACCCACACATCGACGCGGTCACGCGCAACCGCCTAATCCGCCCCGCAAACACACGGGGTTCGTCCACTGCACGCGGGTCCGCCGCCTGACGAAGCACGCTGCTTTCCCCAGTCCCATTCTCGGTCCACGTTCAGGTCCCCGTACACCCGCTCCATTCGATCCTGTTCTCTTCCTCATCTCGTGTCTCCATCTCCACCCGAAGGACCTCACCTTTTGAGAGAGGAATTTCTCTGCTCAAAACGCAGAACGATTTTCATTCGCGAGGAAAAAAAAGATTTTTAAAATCGGGGCAAAAATCGAGGGGGTAAAAAGAGAGAGTAGATGCCGAAATCGTCGTCGCCGTCGCCCACCATCACCCCGATGAACCCCGCCATCAAAACCCTAGCCCCAAATCCAAACCCTAACCCTAACCCTAACCCTAGCCAAGCCCTAGCCAGTCAACTGGAAGCGGATCTACTCCACTCGTACCAGCAAGCCCTCCTCATGGACGACGACGACGACCCCGAGCCTGAAGTCGCCGCTCTCCACCAAACCCTAAACCCGACCCAAGCCCTAGACCACTTCATCTTCCGCGATCCCGACGACGACGAAGACGAGGACGAAGACGAAGCTGCTGGTGCCGACGAGGAGGAGGAGATCGAAGAGGAGCGGAAACCCTCTCTAAACCCTAGCTCCGTCGACCCCCCCTCTGACCCTAACTCTAACGTAATTATGCCTTATATTGACCCGACCCCTCACGTTTCCTCTCAATTTTATACCTTTAACAGAGATTCCCATGCCCTAATGGTTCGCTGCATCTTGGAAGGGCGCGCGGCCACCACCGACGAGATTCAGAACGCGACGCCAAGGGAGGTGCTCAAATCCTGGCGCGCAGTTTGGAAAGATCGGAATGAGGATACGGCGTATTTGACGGCGTGGAAGAGGATCCAGGATAAGCTTCAGGCTCACCTTGATTCCGGTGGAAATGGTTTGCTTTACTTCAAGAGCAATCCTTCACAGTGTGTCTCTTATGTGGAGCAGTGGCAGGAGATTGTGAATTCTCTTCATGCTGACCCTGACCTCCTCCGGCATCTCGGGCTTAAGGAGACGGTGGATCGAATTAAGCAGTCTTGGACGGTTGGAGCTAAGTTTTATGGTATTCCTGAATCTTTTATTAGGATTTGTGTTTCCTCTTGCCCTATTTGCTCTGGTGCTGCTTCAGCTGGCGGCCGACTATCTGGTGGTGGCGGGGCTCGATCGAAAAGGCGGCGGTTTGAGTACACGGAGTCTTTTGATGTGCCAGCTAGGGATGTACAGAGAAGGCTTCAGCAGCTCGCTGCAAAGCATAAGGTAGTGCTTTGCATCCGGCAGAAGTATATTAGATATAAGCCATTTATGGCCGAGGTGAAAGATTATGCTTGCCATAGAGCTGGGGAGCCCTCTTCAGCTTCTGGGTCTTCCTCCAAGAAAGCTAGAGTCTTGAAGAGGGAGCCATATCAATCGAAGAGGTGCGGGGTCTTCCTCCAAGAAAGCTAGAGTCTTGAAGAGGGAGCCATATCAATCGAAGAGGTGCGGCTGTGGGTTTAGGATTCGCGCAATTGTTCCGATAATGAACTACAATGAGAAAGATAAGACCTTTGTCTATCAGGAGGAGGGGACTGCTGTGTTTAAATTGTATGCAGTGCATTCAGGTCATGAGCCTGGGGCATCAGATGGGAATGCTAGGATCATTCACCGCATGGTTGGACACAAGGGGGGTTTTGATTTGGATCCTGAGGTTTATGGTGTGAGAGAGGATACAGAACCGGAATCATTTGTTAGTCTCATGAAGGATGAAACTGGCACCACCCACCATAGCATTCTTCTTCAGCAGGTTCAAGAACTCAGAAAGGAAACTGGGTTGTTGGAAGGGAAGATTGCTAGGATGCCGGAGGAGCTTCTGGGATCTCTGTCCCATGAGCTGGCAGATATCTTGCATAGGCTCAGGAGTGTTGGGGCAGCACAACATTCAGAGGATGCACTTGTGGTGGGTGATGAGGATGCTGCGCAATGGGGGAACGATAGAAGCCACCACCTCCTCGATGGTCATGACAGGATGTTTGCAAAGCATTCTGAGATCATCGATGAGGAAGAAAATGATTTCGATTCAGCTCTTGAGACCATTGTGCCCTGGGACAGGTTAACCGAGGGTTGCCATGGAAGGAAGATGCTCATGAGGGACAGCTGCAAGCCCAATGACAAGTGGCTTCTGAAGGAGGATTGTGGTGATTTTGATGAGAAGAGCATTCTTAATTGTGGTGTTGAGGAGGATAGCAAACTAATAAAACCCCTAAGGCATGATGGAACCATCGTGAGTGATCCAACTTTGGTAGGAATGCATGTTGATGGATTCTATCATGATAGCACCAAGTGGTATGATTCACCGACTGAATTGGATCCTGTTGCTGATTCTAGGGATGGTGGGTTCAGGCATGGATGACTTATGCTTAAGTGATGCTTCCTTTCTATTTAATCACATGCGGGAGAATTTTCCTTTTTGTTTATTCTGTATAATACAAGGTTGCAATTCACTTCACATTATTAGCACAGGACTACAAGTGGAGCTTACTTGCAGCATCCCTGTTGTTGTTTTATATACAGGCTGCATGGACATGTTTGTAAGGCTAATTCTTGGTGCTTTTACTATAACACCGTGCACTTTCCAATTCCTTTGGTACTTATTTATTCATATTGTATTTATATCTTTAAAAGCATATATCTTTACCAACAGTTTCTGTGGATGCTTTTCTGACCTGAAACAGACAACTCTCTCACAGCTAATGGATGCACACTGGACATTTGAATTACAAGTGTTGTGCCATTGTTTTCCTTTTTCATCCATATCAATTGCAGCCCTGTTGATCATATCATCATATGTCAATCTGATTGGCTTAGCTAAAGGGACGCGCGTCTCATCTGTGTTATATTTATTGGGTCAGTTTTGGCTTTACCATTTCTCTTGATCTGATATCAAGCACCACACAAAAAATTACAGAGTAAAGTATTCAAGTTGTTTTCTACTTATGATTTTATTGGCCCACATTCAGTTATGATGGACCGGGCTTTATCCTGTTTGTACACTAGCTATTCGTTAGTTGATCCTGAAATATTTTTCATCGTTATATTAGGGTATAATTTGACTGCAATTGTTGATACAGTTTGTGTTTATCTTAAGCAATTACTAGTATTCTGGAGCACGCGATGCGTGCACGATATACTACATGTTTGTGCGAAAAAATTGTTAACATCTTAATAATCAACATGACCACATGTATAAATCAACGTTTAAAAAAGCGGAAGCACAAGGCTAAGCGCTAGACCCTTTGATGAAGCGAGGCATAAGCTTCAAAGCGTGAAGCGTAAGCTTCAAAGCGTGAAGCGTAAGCTTCATGACTTTAAATATTTTAATTTTAAATTTGTAAAAATTATGAACATATAATATATAGTGGCGTAATAATTACAAATATATACATTCATGTCCTGATTAGTTAATAAGAATCAAATATGTGAAGTATAGAAATGAATCATTATAAACTAAGCTACATGCATAACCAATATATTTTATTTACACTCACATAGTCATATTAAAAATATATAGGGGCATTTTAATGTTAGTCAAAGATCCTTTTATGTCCTACTATCTAGCCTTAAGCGTGTGCTTCGAAATAAAAGCGATTTATGAAGCGCGAAGCACACACTTAATTATGCTTTAAGCCATGATGCGTAAGTTTCAAGGGATAAATAGCTTCACTCTTGAGTTCCGAAGCGTTTACCCTTCAATAAGTTGTGAAGCGAGTTTTGAAGTGAGTTTGAAAAAGCTTTTTCAAACTTTGGTATAGACAATAGTTGCAAAAGAGAGGTCATGGGCAACAGAGGAAAAATTTAGAAAAGGGTCCGTGATTTTGAAAAATTAGGGTAGTTATGAAATAGTTATTAAATAGTGAGGATAGCTCTGAATGTGATAGTTGTTTTCCCCCCTCCAAACTTGTCTCTCTAATAAGTTGTAAATTATTGGAAGTTACGTTTATAGTTTTTGGGATATGATAGGAATTTTCTCAAAGGTTGACTAATGTAGAAGTAGAACACCAAAAAGGAGCTTCTCTTAAATGATAGTAGTGGATAATAGATAATAGATAGATGTTTAGTATAGTAGTTTTTACTGGGTCATATACAAAGAATCAAGATATAAAATTTTCTGCTTCTTTCATTATCCCTTTGCATTGCAGAATCTTTAAGTATATACTTAAGCATGCTTCTTGCTATGTTATAAAGTGATTTAAAGATATTCTCTATGATCCTCTTTTGGTTTGTTTAAAGATATTCTGTCTATTTGAGTCTCCATACTGAATTGTGGTAGGATGCATTTCGTCCTCCTTCCAGTCTAGCGTTACCTCTACCATTTTGGTTTTGAAAATATTATGGAAATAGTGGAGTTTTGGTGCTAAGGTTTATGGCATTCTCTGTATCCTTTGTGAAGTCAACATGCCGGTTAGGTTTAAGTGTGCAAGTTTTTGTCTAGTGTGTTGTCTCGATCTTCGCCATCTTCGTACTTTCTGCATTGCCTGTCACTCCTTACTAGCAAGAGGAATAATTACTTTTTTATAAATAAAATGCCCTTGTTTCTTCCTTCATCTGTTCCAATTCTATCATCCCATATACTGTCTTTGTTCTTGCTACGATTTTCTTGCAGCTGTTGCAGTTTGAGTACATTTTGTCCCTGGACATCCCTACTTGGGATGTGCTTTGGTGGCTTCAGCAGTTGAGAATCAGCATTGATACTCTGCTCAAGAACAATTGAATTTTGTAGGGATGTTAATAGTCTGTACTCCTTAACCAGAAGCCTTTATATCAGCTTTATATTCCTACAGATTGTTTGGAATCTGGAGTCCAAGGAGCGTTATTGTTCTACTCAGGTATTTGCTCTATTGCTTTTTTATTTATTTATTAATCATGTGATCTCCTTTCATCTATTCAATATGCCAGTAAAATGCTGCAAAATTTTATTGCTTTTAATGTGAGAAACCTATATATGATTCTTAACGTTTTCGTATATATTTCTAGCTGAACATTGCTTTCACTTACTTGTTTATTCACATTTACTTTATATCTACTTTACTTAATTTTTTCATATTTATTCATACTTTATAGTGGTTGATTCTGGTTGTTAAATTGGCAAATTGGTTTCTTGATTTCTTCGTGGTCACGCTTGATAATACCTATGCAGGGGTAGATCTATGTTGTGCTTTAGGGTACACTTGCACTTCTGAGAATATCATAATTACATTCTAAAGCCTTTCAAATTTCAACCTGTACCCCAAACTTTTCGAAAATTTGCACTCCGATGACCCAATACTTGCATTGTGCTAGAGATGATTTCTGCATGGTTGTATGTCTGCATTTATGACTTTGCATGCATTAGCTGCTTTTCGAGGATGAGATTTCATCGCTTGTTGATCTACTAATTTATTCCTTGTGGGGAGATGCTCATATTATTGATCTATGATATAAGGAAATGCTTCAGTCAGCTCTTAATGTCATTGGGGTACGCTTCATAAAGTTTGGTTGGTACTCTTTATATGAATTATGTTTATGTGAAGTTTAATTGTATGACAACAGGTGGTTATGATTTACGATTGCTATCAAATCTAAGTTTGAATTAGGCTCAGATTGTGTTGCTCTTGAACTAGTTGCCTACATTAAGCTAAATTCTCTTGTTTCTTGTTTCTTGTTATCAACAGAACTGATGCAACCATAGCAGCATTAAGGCTCGACTGTAGGATTAGTTTGACAGTACAGCTAGCTCACTTGATGAACCACCAGTCAGAATATTTGGACAGTCGGACCCTGATCGATATGTACTATTATTTTATAATCAATTATACCCATGAGCTAGTGATGTTCATGAAAATGTGAACTTTATGCATGTTTTCTTCGGTTAAATAATCCAGAGAATTGCTTTATCAGACTCCTATATTCTCTTTTTGTCGGATAGCAACCTCAGTTTCTTGTATGATCATTTGCTTATTGGATGACAGAGTGTAGGATAAATTGGAAGTGAACTGGCCATGTTTGAATATTTGATGAAATCAGTTGGAATTCATTTGGATGAGACAATTGCTTCCTTGGGTGAAATTCTGCAAGATTATGTGGCTTTTATCCAAATGCTTGTATGGGTATAGTTAAAGGATTAGACCTGCTTGTATCGATTATCTTTGCCTATTGGACAATTGGAATTATTTGGGTTTTAGATCAACAGATGAACAGATCTAAAACGAACTTTAGTGATTTGGAGGCCTCACTGAGGTTTTTGGGTGTGGTGGACACATTAACATTCTATTTTGCTAAACAGTTCTTGGATCACATGACCTATCTATTTTTGAGTCTTGCATGTATTTCTCATGCCCTATATGCATCATACACACACACACACACACACACACACACTACACACACACCAACCAAAGAAAGGACTTTTCGGCTAGTTTTCATATTTAAAGAATCAAATGTATTCTGGGATAAATATTAGAAATCATTTACGAAAGGAAAAAGGTCATACTAGTGAAAAAAGAAATTAATACTGACATCATTAGTAATAGCTCGATCAAAACAAGGCCTGAAATAGGGAATAAGCCCCTTGTTTTCTTTTTTCAATAGATTTTGTTTGATTGGGTTTTTATGTGAGTTTATTTCATGCATTTCATCTCATATGTCTTTTTGCTTATTTGAATGGAGAGTGTTTTCTTCCCCTCTTCTTTGTCTTCTTCATTATGTTCTCCTCTATGTTTTTTTTCTTTTCTGAAATACATGTATGTCTTGTTTTCGTCAGATTTTTGAGCAAATTATTTCATTAAACTGCTGTTTTTGGTTTCTAATGAGAAATCTGTTTTCTGAACCAGTTTCTTTTCTTCTGGAGATTTGAGTACCTGCTCAAGCTTTTAATTTGAACTTCTTGAGTGATTCAGATATGAAACCCCATTCACGATAACTGGCATATCTATCAGACAGAGAAAGGAGAGGTTCATGCTGCAACCAGGAGGAGGAGCAAAGGGTCAAATAAGCAGGTAACTGACCAATTATATGCTATTTTTTGTTTTTCAAAAAGCCTTCGCATTTTATGTGCTGATTTCTCTATTTTTAGAGTCATGCTAGAAGATAAAAGTGACCACGATCTCTTTTACTAATTTAACCTTCTGACAATATAGTCATAAACTGAGTTCTCTTAAATTTAAGATGGGTTTCTCTTTCTGCTTAAAAAGGCATCACAACAAAAGATTCTTCTCTTGATACTAGTTACTATGAGTATGTGACAAGTTTTACCCGATGTATAGCTTATTTTCCTTTAATTTACTTAATGCTTTTGACCTTCTGCAGGCTCGTGGATTTTTGGTCAATAAAGCCGAAAGATCTGTCTTTGACATATCAGATGCGGAGTTAAACTTAAGCATTGGGAGCCAGGTTCGACTACTTAGCTTTTGACTCCATATTCACAGTCTTCTGAAACTGGTTTCACTGCTGAGTTTCTTATCATGAGTTCCACATTCCACCTTGAAATTTCGAATAAAGTGGAGGACGAGGCTTATGGCATGGTGAATGTATTATGAAATCTGTATTATGAGTTATAACATGCATTACACTTCATAAAATGGGGTGTAATGGTGGTAAAACTTACGCATATGTGGACCAGTAGTATTTCACGTTATAAACGGTAATGACATCTGATAATATTTAAATTAAATTAACTATACATTAGTACATTATATAGATGAATCTAGCAGCTGACCTTAAAGACAGGAAAAAAAAGTCCTTGTTGCTGTTGTCATTATGGGGTGTCCTTGCTGTGCCAACTCTCGCTACCAACAATAAGTATAACAAAGGGGAAAAACAAAAACAAAACAAAAAGGGAGAAGAAAATTATGTATTATTTATAAAGCTGCAATCATTTTATTGCTGCATGCCGAAGCCTAAGTAGGTAGCAACATGTTTATGAGTTGTAGCTCAACAGCTAGCTGCAAACAGGACGGAAGCAGAAACATGTTGGAATGGTGATTTTCATGCATTTCCTGTCGTCACCTGAACTTACCTGCAGTAGGCCTTGCATCTTTTGGTCAGTGCACAGGGATTGCGCATTGACACTCATTGTCATTTCCGCAAGCTCATGGGCTCATTTTAGAAGCAAGGACAAAGAGTAGAAAGTGACCATCACTTAAATTGCAAGTTAAACTCAAAGAAAGCATTACTGAATAACAACAACAGGCATTGAGACCTACCTTGCTGATAAGGGTGTACAATTGGATTATGAGATTTATGGTTCAAGACTGTGCTACAGCCTTTTCAAAACAACAATATTGACAACTGTAACAACAACAATGATAAATATCATCGTCAGTCATTATCTTTTAATATCCAACAAAAATAACTATCATTTTTCACGCTATATCCACCTTATCTGTTCAAATTTATTAAAGGATCTTCATAGTGAACGGTAAGGGCGGAAAAGAAATTCATAACCATTGCTTGGAACTATACCTTACCTGAAGCCAAATGATTAACGGGATTACGATGCAAAATTTGGAGCTCTTCAAGGTTCTATCC